AGCAGTTCTTACTAAACAAGCATTGGAGCAAAAGCCAATCAAGCTCAAATAGAGAGTGCTGAGCCATTGTGACTTTTGGAAATGGAGTCACAGAATTCTTTTCAGAACAGTGGAAAAATAGAGGAAAAAATAACTATATGGTTAAGAATGGAATTGTTGAGTACATTTACATATTTAACATGCTTGATAAGGAGGTTCTTCTACCAGGCAGGTTTTCAAGACCGTCTGTCTGTTGAACAGCAAAAGAAGACACAATACAAAGGTAATTCCAGAATACTGTTAATCATTTTCCACAGTAAATCTAAAAACTGTGAATGAAAACCTCAAAATAGATCTACCTTTTAATCACTAGAAGGGAATGATTCCAGTTGAGTAACCACCAGAATAGTTAGAATCATCCAGAGCATAAAAATATTGTAGTATCATACATAATAGCAAAACAACCATCTTACTTAGATTCTTTAGGAAGAACAACATTGTATGGCTGAAAGCATGAAAATCAGAAATGGTAGCCATTATCCCTCATGCTTCTCTACATAATTAGAAAGCAGACTTCAAGATGCCTTATAAAAATAAAACACCTGACAACAAAATCAGCAGTAAATACTGTCAAGTAAATGCAAACAAAGCACTGAAACCTCATGAGATCCATGATCACGTCTGCTTAATGTTGGAACAGATTTATTTGAACCAAATGGGAAGGATTACCTCTTATAATGATTATTTCTTGACTATTTTCTAAACTGAACTGTTGAACAACCCATTGATGCAACAATGTAATGACACATTGAAAATCACAGTTTGCTCATCACAGGATTCCAAATGGGTTAATAGCAGATAATTCCACACATTTCACAAGCATCTCATTTCAACAGTTCTCTTTGATATTTCAGTTTTGGTGCACCTTGTAAGCTCTGGCTGTGTACAGCCAGGAGTGTTAGAAAAGATACTTTCTAGAGAGAAATGAATTTAATACCAAAAACAGCTCAAACCCCAACAATCCAGCCAAAATAACTACGTTTTCTAGGGTAGAACTTTTTGATCAGAAGGGCGTAAAAGTTAGTGTCAAATTCTGACAAGCTCTCTGAATGAAAGATAAATATTAACTTAGACAATGAAAGATAAGACCTGTGTTATTTTTTTAAAAAGTGTATAAACTGGAAGAAAAAGAAGTGTGAGGACAAGAATGTCATGACATTTTATCTGCAATACCAGTAGAACATTACAACAGAGAGTGGCCTCATCAACACCAAGACCATATATACCATATGTCATCAGCGACCTTGAATGTTCATATTTCTGGTGAAATGTAAGTCCATAAAGATGACTCAGAAGGATGCTACTGTGTGTTCTGAGGTAACACAAATGCAGTCTTCTACAAGTTATTGACTTGGGCTCCTTGCTGGAAGACAAAATACAATTCTGGGATATAATGCATTTTGTATTAAAGTGAACACCACAGACAAGCTTACCTTCAGTTAAGTAAATCTCATGCAGCTCCACCAGCAATAACATACAACAGAAGTAACACACAAAAGCATGTGAACGTAATGCGTAAGAATGTGAATTCACTTTGGCAATTGCTTTTGCCATTGGAATTGTATGGGGAATTAAAGAGAGCAGAAGATTTCAACAGTAGTTACTGACCAACATCCTAAATTCCATCTGAGACGCTGCTGTTCATGTGTGTGTTATTCATAAGTGTCAGAAGTTGGTAACATCTTCATTTCAGCTGGTTTCATTACCGGCATTTTATTTCCAAAAGAGTGGTGATACAGATCTCATGGTATCCACTGCAATTAGTAAAATTGATTTCTGCCCTGTTTATATCCACAGAGAGGCTGAGCCATCCTCTGAGCAGCATGGCTTCTGAGCCTCTGCCCTAGTGCCAGTGTCTCTGGCTGTTTGTCTTTTTAATTGGCAGTAAGAGTTGGGGTAATCACCAGAGCCTCAGTTTATACATCAAATGCCATGCTGACATGTGCTGCTGAGTGTCGGAGTGGCTGGGGCTTTGCAGTACATCTTTAGCCCTCTCACTGCTGGAAGCAAATAGCAAGGAGGAGGAGGCATGTTACTGCAAGGCGTGGTGCAGTGCTCAGTGCCTCTCCATGCTGCAGAAGACCATCTCAGCTGGAAATCTTTCAAAATGCATCTAATCATTAAAAACTCAATTCACATTTTTGTATTACCAGTAACATCCCTAGAAAGCTACCAAAACAAAGGACTGGAGAGCCTTGTCTATTTGTTCAAGTATAGAGACAAGGAGCTTTGTACTGCATTGAGGTAAAAATTTCTACATTAGGTTAAAAATGTTTAAAGGTATGTGCGTGAGACTTTGAACTGCTGCTATTCAGGAGTGAGCTGAAGTGAAGCTAGAAGGAATCACCTCACCTCAACTTTACTCATCAGCTAAGTTCCTAAGAGCATACTTCATTTCAGAAGGCCCTGTAAAGGTTTAAAAAACTCCAAAATTTTTAAGTTGTGAGGAATTCCAAAAGCAAAATACAATTTCTTTCTGAATTGGTATACATCCATAGCATGAGATGCTTCTAAAATAAAAATTTATTCCTCATCCATCTCTTGCTACAAAATTCTTAGATCAAAGCTAACTATGGTTCTATTGACTATGATTCTATGTGTGTGGTCTTCTCAAGAATCAGGTGACTCTGAGACCCAGATAAAATTGATGCTTGAGCACAGCAAGCATTGTGGGTCCATACTTACACAATGAATATGAATGTTCCAGCTCCTTCCATAAAGTCCTCAGCAGGATCTCTGTGTGCAAGTAATAAAATGAGTGCAGAATACCTTCAGTGACTGGGTTCACAAGCCACACTAAAAGTAAGGATTGTCACAATCACAGGTTCTATGTAGTTATTTGAAATTCTTAAACTGTACAATTTATTTAACCAAAGAATTATACTCATGAATCGAGATTGACTTCAGTAGATAACATGTTGTTTCTGAATACAACAGCTTATGATCATTCATGCTCAAAACTCTTCAGTTAAAGATATTGCTTGGACTGTAAAATCAAGCATTTAGGTCTAAAATATCAACATTTTAATTCTACGTGCTAACTTGCTCTTCTCCTGATACATCTACTTACAGTACTGATGTAGACAGCCAGTGGGAAAATGCAGCATGACCGCATGTAACGTACATTTGCACCACAGTGTGTTAACATTAAGGCAAGTGAATCAGAGTTCAGAGGCATCTCCTAACTCTCAAGTACTATCTACTGCAGTGTTAGAAAAGCTGATTTAATGTTGACTTTGTTGCACATTATTTTAGCACTCTTCTTTTCTGTATTTCTGCTATCTTAGTTGCTTGTTCTGCAATGCAGGACACATTGGTACTGCAAGAGTTACTGAGAACTTTAGCTGTAAAAACACACATATTAACTGAGCTTGCCTCATTCCTACTCCCCAAGCTAAAGAAAGACTTCAGGGAGATAGTTTGGAGATTGAAGATGGTCGCTTAAGAATTTATATAATGCAAGAGCTTAAGTGCAGTAAGGTCCTACTTGTGCTCTTCTTTACCCACCTTTTCATTTCCATGTCTTCAGTTGACCCAGGGCACCATTGTGTCTCTTGGTCCTGGCCATACCATAGCGAGCCTGACCTGGAGCCTGGAACCCACTGATGTTCACCCAAGAGATACAAACAAGAGAAGTCTAATGGCAGTTTTTGTTACTTTGCATCCTAAGTGGAATTTCATGGGACAGAGGACAATTCCGTAGCCCAAGGGGATTTCCTATAATGAATATCAAATGCCTTCTACAAACAACAGAAATGTGAGAGATTCTCAAAACAAAAGGTCAGAGGGATTTTCCATAATAGAAAGGCTTTAATGGCCTGAATATGGCATGTTGTGACCAGCTGCCCCTACAGTGAATCAGTGCAAATCCTCATGAGGAGCTTCCTCACAACTCGCAATTTGAGTAGCCTTTAATTTGGGAATAATCATTGGAATTTTCTAGCTTTGAGACAGGGAATATGGTGCACATCTGGTAGCAGCCCTGAAAGAAGAGAAAGAAAATGAGAAGGGAATTCAAGCAGAAAGGGAGAATGTCGTTGTGTCAGAGGCAGCTGGGTGGCAAAGAGTCTAGGCTCATTCTCCACGGGTAGCACCCTTGTATGTGATACAGGAAAAGGCTGTACTACTGAGTGGCTGGAAGATCCAGTCATGAAAAGGGCAGAGGAGGAGCATGGATGTTTAGTGACTGATGTCTGCCTCAGGCAGTGAATGGCCTGGCAGCTGCAAAGAGAAAGTTACTCTTCCTTTAAACACCCCCACTTGAAAAATTAGTAAACATCTATTTGTGACCAAAGTTTGACTTGGAACCTGGTCAAAGATGAGTAAGAGGGGAGGTCTGGTAAAGCTCAGCAGGTGCTGTGACCATGCTTGCATCATTATTCATCCCCAGACATGGAAATTTCGCCTTATGGAGGGTAGAAAGGAGCAAACCTCAGAGCTGAACCAGACTAGTATTCTCACTCCAGAAGTCTGTGTCCTTGGAAGGTTGCTAGCATGTATGTGTAGCATCAAATCAAGACATTTCAGCATATGAAGAAAACACTGAGAAGTTTTCTTTTCGCTTCCTTTTTCCCTAATCTCTGTTCCTTCTATTTCTTGTCATCTCCATTTGGACACTTCCATCTTTTCTCACCACCCACCCTTTTGTTTGGGACTCACAAGATCTGGTCAAGGTATATTTCTGTAGCTTTAATTTCTTTACTATTCTGAGTGCAGGATGATACTGGAAGAGGGACAACATCTGCACTACTTCCATTTTCAGAACAAAGAATTTGACTTTCAGACCTGAAGGATCTGGAGGGGTTCATGTGGCACATTTGTCTGCTTAGTACACATATTATGAATGTGGTGAGAGGTCCGTTGAGTAGTCTTATTATGTGGAAAGACTATGATAATTAATAGGAACTTCGAATATGCAGGAGTATGTAAGTAACATTGCATTTATATGCATTCTTCTGTAGATGAAAGAAGCAATATAGTTGGGATGTTCAAACTTTCATAACCTGCCTTCATATTAAGCAAGAAACACCTCTTTAAAACACGTATTATGGGATCAGATGAACATGTCCTTCAGACTTTGAGAAGTATTTAAAACGCTCCAGTAGGTGAAGGTAAGAAAACATTCATTTCAGCTGGTCTTTCACTTTGATACGTGCCAATGAGTATGGAAATGTGAAAATGAAACAACTTCAGAATTTGTAGCTCAAATTACATATGAAAATCGTCCATTCAAGTGTAGATTTAATCATTTTTGTCTTAGTCAGCTCATTCTTTCAAACACCCATTTCCCATTCCAGGTTACAATACTTATACTATAGTGTAGATTACTATAATTAACAGGTTAAACACATGAAAACAGTTTTTTCCCCTTGATGTGCCTTTGGATCCTTTATTTTGCTAGTAGTTTTACAGTAGAGTCACTTCCTACAAGTAAGAAACAACTGCTGTGGGGTTTCTTAATGCTGCTAATGTTCTTTTCTTTCCCTCCAGTAGTAACAGTGAGAAATTGCTGTCAGTAAATAAAATAACACAATGAAGAATACATGTAAAGAACAGCATGTCTAAAGTTGTTCATATGAACATCATTGGTACAGACTGCTTACATTTCCAGAGTAGCCTATGTTGCATCTTCTTAAAAAGATACAATGTGAACCTTTGTAACCTCATTTTATAGAGAAGCTGTTTTGTGATCCAAAGAAGCACCTTCAGTTATAATACAATTTAATTCCACAGAATAAAGAGAAAAAATGGCTTGTAAATGTCTTTTGTGCTGCGATATTTTAAGCAAAAGATTAACAACGTTCTTACTTTGTTTTCTCCACCAACACATGCCATGTGGCATATCGTAGATTTATTTATTTTTTAATCATATGTCCTGCTGGTTATAACATAACTTAATGTAGCAGCTGCAATTAACAGACTGTCAAAGGATCAACTAACAAGTGCTGATAAGCTTCATTTAACTAATTTGAGGAGTGGAAGTTTAATTTTTTTTTTTCCAGGAAGGTAGCTTGTTTCCTTATTTCCTGTCAAGTGAGCCAACTCCTGTGACCTGTAGTTAAAAGGGCCCTTTGTAATTAAAGCAGTGAGTCTCCAAGTGAACAGTTCTCACAGCAGGAGGAAAAAAAAAGAGAGAAGAAAAAAAAAAAAAGAAGAGGAGGATGCATGACACTGCTTAACTAACTAATCGGAGCTCAGCCAATCCATTTTCCTGCAGGCCAGCCAGCATACCATGAGCACGCAGCATCTTGCTATCCATTGGCTTCGTGTCCATTTTATGGACCAGTGAGTCTATTAAGATCTTGGTGAGTGGCCCTAACGGAGGGCAGGGCTCTCTCCTCGGCATCTGCCCATAGACTACCAGAAACTGATCAGCCATGTTATATCAATAACATTCTCACACTAGATTGTGTAAATTGATCTTTTACAATTTCTCTCGGTGACAGTCTCTGTAACCAACAAGATAAATCATTCCTCCTGTGGCTTTTTTATTGATTGCTGAGACCTGTATAAAAATTACACTGCTCAAGATGTGAAGTGAACATCCTCATAAAAGAAGACTTTCTATTTACAATCAAAATACGTTTCGGTCCAGATCAAGCAGAGTTTTACTATGCCAGTACCATAAGAGACAAGAATTTAACGGAGATTCAAAGCACTGAGAAAGTAATCCACATAAACTTTTAAAATACAAACAGTGCACTACAAAAACTGTTAGGAACAAAGCAAACAAGCAAAACAAAATGAAGCAAAAACTTCCAAGGTTATAAAGTTTTGTTGAAGTACAGACAGTAGTAATGACAAACCAACTGTTAAAAACAATGATTTAGAAGAAGAACAGCAATAAAATTAGCTAAGTTTTTGGGTGGACTTTTTTCTTTCTTCTTTTTTTTTTTTTTTTTTTTAACAATTACATATACTACCACTAATATAAATTACTTTCTGATTCTGTGCAAATGTATGTATTTTTAAGTGGAACAATGTGATTTGAGAGCTCCTTACTTCTTCAGAAAAGAAATATTCTGCACCTTTGGAAAATCTGGCAGCAATAATATTATATTAGAAAAATGTATTATTCAAGCTATATAGTGTGGGCTTTACTTTTTTATTAAGGCAAACATTCTAACAGTGTTTGATATAGATAATCAATCAAATTCATCCACTGTTTTTAGGTAAGATCAAGACTCCGCAATTTTACTCTTTCCACTTCACACTATCATTTTAATTCTGTTAAAATAGTTACTGACTTCTATTTTTTTTTTAAATTTACTTAAATGTTAAGTTAATATCACTTATAGACAGATCTTAAAAGAAAGTTTTTCTAGTTGATGGACTTTTACTTAACAAAACTGTTAAATGACAAATTATCAAAAACAATTGAAGAGTTAAGTAATTTAGAGGGCAGAAGAAAAAATACCAGATACCATTTAAATCATTTGTACTGGCTTTGGATAAGGCAATGGTTGGTCCATGCCTCAGTTTACCCATCTTTCAAAAGAGTATTACATGCATCAAGAGGAAAAATGTCATTACCATATTGTGCTTGTTTAAATTATTAGAGATATACTCAAGTCACTCTCTTCTTAAGAGAAAGCATAGCATTTAAATCAGTGTTTACAAAGTACTCAGAAACTCTTGAAGATGAGTTCCTATAGAAGTAGTAAGTTGTTATTACTTATCTTAGACACAAAAACAAAGGATACATTTAGATATTTCAGTTTAGCATTACCTGGGAGAACACTGTGGTAAGTATTCTCTCAAAACAAAGTATTTTCTTACAAGCTCAGTGTATTTCCTATGAGATTGAAAATATTATTTTTTTCCTTTTGATGTTTAAAAAAAAAAAAATGTGTCAAAGCTAAACACTGGTGACACTGGACAAACATAGAAAAATTATACAAGATGCTTTTTTAAAAAAAAAATGCACATTTAACTAGAACTTGTAGGTTTACAACTATTCTAAGCCACACTAAATTATTTTGCATGTCAAAATTATAGGACAGCTTTTTTTGCTATTCAGAAACTTGTCATTCAGTCTTCATTAAGGGGAGAAACTTCAGAAATAAGACACCGTGCAGTAATCAGAAAATTCAAAGTATGAAAGTTATGAACTCCTTACTAATGCTGTAAATCTATCCCTAAATGATAGAAGGACCTCTCTTTATTTGGTCAGTGAACAAAGATGATTTCTCTACTTAAGTCGAAAAGAAGGAAGTCAAGGAGAATTTTTTTTTTTTTTTTTTAATAAACTTGGTTAAGTTGCCCTGTTATCCTATAAAGAGGTATGTGGCTTCAGGATAAAATCTTGTGATACCCACCATTCACTTCTCTATTACACGTCCTCCCTCTTTCCAATTTGAAACAGAATTTATAAGAAAAATTTGAGTGGGAAAAGTCAGGTCCAGGTCCAGGATCCAAAGACAAAAGACCATTGCAAAAAAAATTTTGCCAGTGGACAGTAAGCATATTGAAAGACAAAAATTATGTTAAAGAATATATTTTGTCTAGATTTTTTGCATACTTTAGTTTGAATTACACAAATCAGTTTATATTTTTGTTGCTAGCCTTAGTAATGTTTTCTCTCTTGAGTCCTGGCAGCAAATTGAAAAAGGAAGGCATCAGTGTCCTTCTGAATTGAGGGTTTTTGTTTGTTTCTTTTGATCAAGGATGCAAAATAAGTGGATCTAATTTTTAGCTGCATCCTCTTCATTTCTCTTAATCCTGGATAGCAATGACTTTTCAAGCAGCTCATTGGAAGCAATTGTGGGAAAAATGCCATTCTCTTTTCAGCTGTTCTTCCAAACCCTAATGAGTTAACAATTGAAATACAGAAAGTTGCCTCAGAGGTCAGGAGAGTATATTCTACACAATGGTCACAGCATTTGAAACCATGACAGCACTATAAATTGACAAACTAAAGCAGAGCACTTGGTGGTCTGCAGTGGAGAAAAGAACATCAGCCAAGAGCGGTAAAAAGACAAGCCATGAAACCACACAGAAAAAAATGAGTGATTTTTTTCAGATCACCTTGTTAGAATTTACTGTATCGGGGGTCAGACGAGTAGAACAATAATAAGGTCCAAGGTTGAATACCAGTGGGGAAGCTTAACCCGGGAGCTCCAGGTCAACCATAAGTGAATGAGGTAGAAAAGTGAAACAGTAGTCACCCGGGAAGGGAAGGCACAAAAGTCAGCAGGATAAGGGGAGGAGCCCACCAGTTATCAATTAGACTAAGAGAAAGCCCAGGCTCAAACACCTGGGATAGAAAAATAATCCCAATGTGATGAAAAGAGATTTTCTTCTGTGCACAGTTCTTGCTCTCTGGTTTTCAGATTTTTAGGAATTTGAAATGTTGTGGAGCTAAAGATCTTAAATCTGTAACAGATGAGAAAACGCAGGCCAGTTGGATGCATTTTCCTTACGTCTTATGTGCATATGACAATGTTTTCATCCCACGCTGGACAGTTTGCTGAGATAAAGGAGGCATAAAAATAAAGTCCTTTCCAAGATACAAACAAGCACGCACATACACCCTTGTAAGGGGATGCTTTTTAACTTTTCTCTTTTCTTTAGAAAAGTACAATTCACACCAGTTTTATTTTTAACTTATGAGGAGGAATTTTTCCAGATTTGTGAAGAAAATTGCTTCAAGTGATGAAATAGAGAATACTTAAGTGACATTTTACAATATAGAATGAATGTAGAATGCTTATACAACTTCCTCTTCATATGAACATGCATCATCTATTTTAGTAGGAATTTTGCCATTGATTTCAAAAGAGCTAGAACAGATTCAAAACAAAGTAGACTATGTCCAAAATCAAGTAGTTCAGAGTCCATCAAAAATTTATAGCTGAAATGTTATTCAGGTTTTGTGAGCAGTATGTAGTAAAAGCAAGGATGTACAATGTCAGCTGAAGACAAACTCTAAACCCACTCTATTTATAAAACACCACCCTATTTTTCTATGTGTCCATTCTTAAGCTTATGTTTCTGAGGAATTATATGGTCCTGGAATGCTGCTAAAACCAGCAAAATTCTTATAGGTAGAGTAAGTCTCACCAGCTGTTCTAAAGCATACAGTATCCTTACTATCCTCTGGTGTGTACAT